AATTTTTTTTTAAAAGCAGTATCTTTAAATAAGCTCTAGTTGGGCCTGTAAGCTTTTAGATGGGGCAGCAGACAGAACGGAGAAAATAAAGTATATTCTCGGCTGTCCAGGCCGGGGGGGGGGGGGGCTATACCCTCTTACACCCCTTCCATAGCAGTGTGGAGCGCACCAAATGCCTCTTTATCCAGCAGCCGATACTAAATGTCACTAGAGATGTTTAGCTGGCCATGAAGAATTCTTTCTTTCTTTTCCTCAACGTGAGCAAAAGGGGGTCAGAACGGTTCCTACACCTGACACAGTTTAGAAAATAAAGCTATAAAATGCTAGGAGGGGGTTCTTTTTCTTTCTTTTCCTTAAAGGTGTAATAGGGCTGACACACTTATCGCCTATTCGGGAGCGGCAAGAGAGCTGTTTTTATTGTCTCTGAAGGAATACGTGGCAAGGTAACAATGTCTTCGTTTCTATCCTGGTCAAAAAAAGCAAAGAGGCTCTCTAATGAACTGTCTTGCCCAGTTTGTCCAGAGCGGTAATTATGTCCTAGTGGTAAATCACCTGTTCTGCGCAGCTGGAATCCAGTTAACCTTGTATTCCCCCCCCCAAAAAAAAGCTGCTACTCCTGGCTTATGCTCAGTGTGATGGACGGTGGTGGAAAAGTGCCGTCAAGTCACAACCGACTTATGACAACCCAGTAGGCTTTTCAAGTCAAGAGACACTCAGAGGTGGTCTGCCATTGCCTGCCTCTGCTTATCAGTCTCGCTATTCCTTGGTGGTCTCCCATTCAAACAATAAACTGGGCTGATCCTGCTTAGCTTGTGAGATCTGACGAGATCAGGCAAGCCTGGGCGATCCAGGTCAGGTCAGGGTGATGGATAGAGCACAAAAATGAACCACGATATAACAGCCAGCCCATAAGCACTGGCTACTGGGAAGGAGTCCAGATTCGACAGGTCGATGTTTAGAACGCCACCCTTAAACGGGTCTGCCAGAGATAGATTCATGGAGGATAAGGTGATCAATGGCTACTATTAGTCTATCAATGGCTGCTGGCCATGGTGACTGAGGGGAACCTCCACATTCAGAGGCACTAAATCTAAGCCTCTGAATCCCCCAGCCAGGAGGCAACATCAGGGGAAGACCTCGGCCTCTCCATGCCCTGTTGTTGGCCCTCCAGAAGAACTGGTTGGCCACTGTGTGAGGCACGATGCTGGACTAGATGAACCTCTGGTCTGACCTAGCAGGGCTCTTCTGATGCTCTTACAAAGGCCTCGGCCACTATGCCCTGTCACTGGCTGTCCAAAGGAAATGGTTGGCCACTGTGTGAGACAGGATGCTGGACTAGATGGACCACTGGTCTGATCCAGCAGGGCTGGATGTTGAGAGTGAGAGAGACAAAGGTTAGTTTAAGGGGAGCGTGACTCAAGATCTGGGGAGACATCAGAGTTATCGGTTCAGTTTCCCTCTCTGGGGAACCGAGGTGTTTTAGCACATGCCAACTGGGTTTGCTAGTTCTAGTATGTCACTGGCAACAGGATGCCTATGAGGAAACAGGATGCCTATGAGGAAAGGTTAAGGCGCTTAGGGCTCTTTAGCTTGGAGAAACGACGACTGAGGGGTGACGTGATTGAGGTTTATAAGATTATGCATGGGAAAGAGCAGGTAGAGAAAGAGGTACTTTTCTCCCTTTCTCACAATACAAGAACTCGTGGGCACTCCATGAAATTGCTGAGCGGTCGGGTTAGAACAGATAAAAGGAAGTCCTTCTTCACCCAAAGAGTGATTCACACATGGAATTCACTGCCACAGGAAGTGGTGGCGGCTACAAGCATGGACGGCTTCAAAAGGGAATTAGATAAGCATATGGAGCAGAGGTCCATCAGTGGCTATTAGCCACAAGGTATAGATAGGGACTCTGGGGCAAGTGATGCGCTGTATTCTTAGTGCTTGGCGGGGGTCAACAGTGGGAGGGCTTCTAATGTCCTGGCCCCACTGCTGGACCTCCTATTGGCACTGGTATTTCTGGCCACTATGTGATACAGAGTGTTGGACTGGATGGGCCTTTGGCCTGATCCAACATTGGCATCTCTTATGTTCTTATGTCCTGATGACAGATGGGTTTCCCACGGAATGCGCTATCCAAAACCTAACACCCACAGTTCTTGCTCAAGCATTACCATTGATCTCAGTGGTTTCCTTCTGAACAAACTCCGCTGTTGTTCACTTTTAAAAACCCAACCACCTTGTGCCAGACAGTTACCCCTGTCACCTTCAGTGAATGATCAAGGCTTGGGCGGGTTTACAGCCGGGCCCAGAGTCTGCCCCTTCAAACTGTTTTCATTTCCCACTGGTTATCCTACCGGTGCAGAGGGGAAGGAGGGAAACTGTGGGGTGGTAAAATCCTGCGAGACAGTATGTAAGCCCCCAGGATAACCATCGCAAGTCAGTCTCTTCCCTTCATCTTGGAGGACCATTTCATACATTATAAGGTGGCGGAGTTTTGCCGCAAATGGTATATTTGGTAGCTGATCTGTGTATGTGTGAAGTGTCACCAAGTCACAACCGACTTATGGGGACCCCATAGGACCTTTGCGGCAGGAGACTAACAGAGGTGGTTTGCCATTGCCTTCCCCTGCATGGTGGCCCTAGCATTCCTTGGTGGTCTCCAGTGTTCCCTCTAAACTGAGTTAGTGTGAGCTAGCTCACAGTTTTTTAGCCTCCGGCTCACACATCTTTGTCTAAGCTCAGGAAGGATGGCTCCTTCCATCCTTCCACAGTAGCCAAATCGCTCAGTCACAGCTTTAACGCCAGTAGCTCACAAAGTAGATTTTTTGCTCACAAGACTTCAAAGCTTAGATGGTGGTCTCCCATCCAATTACTAACCAAGGCTGACCCTGCTTAGCTTCTGAGGTCTGACAAGACCAGGCTAGCCCTGCAAAGTCCTCCTCAAGACACACGTCTTTGCAAACGTATGCCTGTCATAGTTATCCTAAGTTTAACATATCGGGGGGGGGGGACACACCCAAAAGTGCAATCCATAAACTGTAACCCATAAACAGGCTTTTTACGTAGAGATCCTAAGGTCTTGGTCTGGAAACCATTATTAGCCAATGAGTGGCGCTCTGACAAAGGGACTAGGGGTGTGCAAAAAATAAGTAAACTCGGCCCATTCGGATTCGGCCGAATCGGGCAGAATCAATTTCGGCTGGCAGTAAGACCCCCGCATGTCAGTTTCGTCAGTACCAGTCAATTCAGGAGTCTTTCGGCCACCCGAATGTCAATTTCAGCCCCATTATATCCTCAATGGCGAAAACATAGGGTATATTCTGGGGGCTGGAGGGGAAGGGGGCTTGAGGGAGAGACTCCAAACTCGCAGGGTAGCTGCCGGAGCCTCTCCCCAAGATACCAACAAAGTTTCAAGAGCATTGGACCAGGGGGTCCAATTCTACGGGCCCTCAAACAGGTTGCCCCTATCCCCTCCATTGTTCTTTATGTTTGGGGAAAAGTTACCACACTACACTGCATCTCTGACAGAAACTCGGCTTTGGAAAGCTTGTCTTAGGCTGAGGTCACACGAGCAGTTTGCCGAGACAGAGGCATGATGATACCTTTGTGGGTTTAAAGAGCATGATCAGACAGCAACACCCGCCTTCCGTGCCCCAGTCGCCAGCACCCTGTGTCACCCCGCTTTGCCGGTGGAGTAATCAGGCACCAGGGAAAGTCTGGTGTTTACGGATGCCAGTGCTTCCACTCCGCTTTCCCGGACGTCTGAACTCTCCAGTCACGAAAGGAACTTGGAAGGGAAGTCTGAACCGGCAGACCCATTTCTGCCACTGTTGTTGTTTTTTAGTTGCTGCCTAGATGCACCTGCATTAAAACAGAAATGACCAGGCAGCGCTCTCCATGGTTGAGGCGCTGCGGCAATATGAATGCCTGACCACCAGACAAGTGTGCTGCCCCACAGCACTTCAAACTGGTGCAATTAGAGGTGCACCCAGACTGCAGCAAGCCTCCAGTGTGACCGCAGCCTTAGAAGATCTTCTGATGCCCCATAGCATTGCCTCTGCTGTAACATTTGAAGGGGAAGTGGCAAAGATGGAACACGCCAGCCATTTCCATGAACGGAGCTTGTACATTCTTTCTCTCTTTGTAACTCCTCAAATATTATGGCAGAGCACAGTAAGAGGGGCTGCACAGGACCTCCTGCTATTTGGGCAGCCTCTTCTCATCATAACGTCTTAACCCTAAGTGAATGGAAGAAAATAGGCTTGGTATTCTAGTATCCTCCCAGTTTCTGGGCCTGGACTCACAGTGACGGAGGGAGGGGGATTCAGCCCTTGTACTACCACTCAGGTCTGGCTAGAGGAGGACCCCACAGAGAGATCGGCCACACCATGAAGGGATCCTCCAAAGAGGAAGGTCCGAAGCCAAATGGAAAGACCCATACTTTTCTTGCAGCAGGTCCCAGGTTCAATCCCTGGCTAGAAACAAATTCCAGCAGCAGAGCCAGGAAAGAGCCAGCCAGTGTTCCCTCTAAGCTGAGTTAGTGTGAGCTAGCTCACAGTTTTTTAGCCTCTGGCTCACACATTTTTGTCTCTGCTCAGGAAGGATGGCTCCAGAACACACTAATTTATGCAGTAGCCAAATCACCTGCTCACAACTTTAATGCCGGTAGCTCACAAGGTAGAGTTTTTGCTCACAGGACTCTACAGCTTAGAGGGAACATTGGCCAGGACTGTGAGCCTGGAGAACCACAGCCCAAGTGGACAATACAGAGTTAGATAGACCACTTGTCCGACTCAGGATAAGACAGCATCGCACATTCTGTAAGTGGGTGAAGTTATCCTTCCTGACTGCCCGGGCCAGATTAATCATGGTCTGAGCAACCAGGAGTCATTCTCTTACTGGTTCCACACCACCCATGCCTCTCTACGCCTTCCTTCCTTCACCATGTCCACCTTGGTCCCAGCAACCACGAAACACCTTTCTTTGGGTCTCAGGCCTACCTTGCAAGTGATGTGTCTGAGACTGCAAAAGGGCCTTCTTTTTCGAGGTGCACTTGTCTCTGTTGCTGTTCTTGTTCTCTGTTGGTTTGGTCTGTGGAGGGTCATCGTTTGTAGTCAGATACTTGAGGAGCTCCGAGCAAGGGCGTCTCTGTGGCTTTGGCGGTTGACAAACGCTCTTCGCTTTATTGCTCCATGAATTCTCAGTCTTAAGAAACGAGAAACAATTGAAAAAAAAGAAAAGAAAAAGAAAGCTGGAATTAGTGAACTGAACCTTATCAGAATGGATAGAGGTTTTCGGAAGAGATGAGATGTTCAGCAAAGTGTACCGTCAAAGTGTACTAGATCTATGAGCTGTGAGTAACTGTTTGCAGAACAAGGAACGGAAAATTAATTACATTTAAAATTCCTAAATGACACTGATGTGGCTTTTTATTTCATTTATCTTACGTTTCAATGTTCCTACTAGACAACACGTAACCAACAAGACCATACAGCGCCTTTGCTATGAATGGGGGGGAGGGAAAGCTGGTTTAAACTTTAATTTGCTGCTGATTGCTCAAGCCCAGCATTCACAACTCTCTTAAGTGCCCCTAAACGCTCTGTTTTCAGTTACAGTCGATGGCAAGGCAAACATTGTTTAATACAGCCTGCTAACAGAATTACATCGCTGTCGGTATCCCAGCCAATTAATGGTTGATATAGACCTTTCTGCCGAGCTTCTTTTTCTAGGTTAGGCTGTTTGTGAGGCACCAGCCTGGAGTTGCACGTCAACACATCAGTAATATTTTAACGGCACCATCTATTGCTCGGTGCATAGGTCAAAAGCAAAAACGCTGCCTAATTCAGCCATGAGAGAAGGGGGGGGGGGAGGACAAAGGCATCAGGACACAAAAGGAACCAAAGCAACTCCTGTTGTGTATTTTATGAAAATTCTGAATGAATCAAATCGGGGGGATTCAGTCCACACATGGCAGTTCAGATACATACTGGAGATACATACTGGGTTTGGTCCTCCAATTCATCTGGGTGGAGGGAAAGACGTGCATTTCCCCCCACCTCCAAGCACATAAAACAACATGGATGCATCATGTGGAGGCCTGTGTACATGATGCTCCACTCTGTGAGATTCTTCTCCCTCAAAACAAGGGAAGTGGGACAGTTGCACAAGATGTGCCCCTGTCCTCAGGGGCCACCATAACTGCCTATCACTTGAGGTATGCTGCAAAGAAAAAGGTCGCATAAGAAGAGAGGCACCCAAGCCTATAAATGTTATCCTTCCTGAGTCTCAGGGAGAAAGCAGCACTGTAAGTAACATAAACAAATAAACAGATGCCCTTTGATCTGTTAAATTCGCACCACATTCTTTGCAAAAAAAAAAAGGGAAAGCCACATGATAATTTGCATCTTCCCGTGGCCATAAATACATTGTAAAAAGCATCCGAAGCAGGCCATTCTCTGCATTTGAAGGCATGAAAAACTCTTTTAGGAACTACTTTTACAGAGACACGCATGCATTGCACAGATTCATGCCCTACCTTAATGGCCATAGGGCTTGCTCTGATCCTGTGATTGGTGCTGGCATGATTGTGTGTGCTGAGGCCACTGCATTCATCGTAATTTAGCTGGGTGTTAGCTGGAGCCAACAAGAGCTTCTTAAGCTGCAGGCGAAACAGGGGAGAAAGTTCGGGAGAGGTGGAGAATGACAGAAAGAACAAAAGAGACAGAAGAGTTATGCATCCTTACGCCCAACATTTCATCGGAGAGTTTGATAGCCAGGGCCCTGGGATTAAAGTCTACCCATGGTGTGACAGAAAGACTGTGGGGCCACCACACGCTACAGACCTATCGCTAGGTCTACCGGAGATCCATGCATGGAGGTAATGTTTACATAGCTGGGTACAGTCCAATATTTATAGATCAAATCACATAGGAATGGATCCTACGTAGCAGCAATAAAAGGCACCTACAGAGACACAGATTTCCTCTGTTTCCCTGGCAGCCACCTGTGTCTGCCCAAAGGGTTGCCACCAGCAGGGGATGAGGGGATAGGGTTGCCAGATCCAGGTTGGGAAACTCCTGGAGATTTGGGGGTGGAGCCTCAGGAGGATAGGGGCCTTAGTGGGGTACAATGCCTTGGAGTCCACCCTCTGAACCATCCATTTTCTCTAGGGAAACTGATGTCTGTACTCTGGAGACAGATGAACACATAAATCTGCCTTATACTGAAGCAGATTGTGACGACCTCCTTATTCTGGAGGTCTGGTTTCACTTTAAAAGTGTTCTTTGTTTTGTTTTACTGGGTATATATGGCTGCCACCAGGAAATTTTAAGGATTTCCAAACCTTTATGCTTTTACTGTTGCTCTTTTTAATTTGGTAGACCGAGTTCAAGGCTTATAGGGATCTATGTGGTCCTGGGAAGTATTTCATTCAGAGCTGGTATAAACTTGGATGAAAGAGGATTTATTGAAATAACTACTAAATAAGAGGGTTGTACAATGTAACTAGTAATGTACAGATGATGAACAATCGCTTTGGTATCACACAATCTTATCCCTCACTGACAGGGATCTTTCAGGTAACTTTGTAACACTTGTTTAACTCAAGGTCATATATGTTCACTGTTTCTCTCCAGTTTATCAGGACATACAGCCTTTCCTATAACTTGTCTTCAATTAAACTTTCATTTACTTGTTCCTATACACTCAGCTTTCCTTCTGTTTCTCTGTCTCACTGTACTACCTCAACTGTCAGCTTATAACTGCTTCAACACAGAACTGCTTGTCTAACTACTAACTGAACATCAACTGTCAACATCTAACTGAAACTACAGACTGACATACATACTCATCCATTCAGATTCACTTCCAAAAGCCCTCCCCCTCTCTGTCAACCACCAATCATACCATACTTGCCTCTCTCAACCACTCTAGTCTATCTATCACAGCCATGCAACCAAACTTTTAAAGAGACACACACACACAGAAACAAGGAATCGTTATACAGATCCTCGGTCTTCAGGTGAACATTTGGAAAAATGTAAATAGAGACTGTTCAGGTATGAGTATATACTGTCAATATAAGCATAGGCATGTAGCTGTACATTTCTATTCTGAGTCCATATACAAAACAAGGCATATTTGTCAGGTCTGGGATACAGTCACTCTCACCACACTCTTGTATCAGCAAGATTTGTTTATTGAGAAGTGAAACAGTTTCCAAGCGTAGACATGTTCTGTGTCAGAACTGACACCCAGGTGTCAGGACTGAACCTATACACCAGGGGTGTCAAACATAAGGCCTGGGGGCCAAAACCAGCCTATCCAGGGCTCTTTCCTGACCCTCAAGCAACTGGTATGTATGGAAGTGTAAGGTACTCCCCCTTTTATGGTATTCCTTGGAAAAAATCTAGTCTTGAATATCATTAAATATATTTATTGGGGCTTTTGTGGGCTCCCCAGTAAATCAATTGCTTTCATTGCTAGGAATCAATTGCTTTTGTTTGTATTTTGAGTAAAAATAATATTGTTAATTGGGTTTGCCTGTGTCCTTTATAAAGTTTATGTCTCTGGTACCCAGGATTACATTTTATAGCACACATGGCCTGGCCCAACAAGGTGACATTTATGTCACATCTGGCCCTCGTAACAAATGAGTTCGACACCTCTGCTATACACTATGCAGGACATCCCCCCTAAAGTGCACTACCCAATCACTATCCACATTCAGCCCACAAAAGATCCAAACTACCCCAATACACTGCCCCCCACACCTGCTCCTAGCTGTTGCACTATTTAGAAATTCCCTGCACCCAAGGTCGAAGGGAGAGCTGAGATCATGCGCTTCCCAGGCACTGCGTAAGCCGACAGTCACACACTCCCATCACACACATCCCTTTAGCCAGAAGGATAAACAGCCTAGGGAAGGAAAGAAAGAAGGAAAGAGAAGCAATTAACTTGAGGCCACAGAGTCCATGACAAGCAAGGCCCAAGCTTGACAATATTCTGTCCCCCCTGGATGGAACAGAAGCAAAGCATAGCAGCTGTAAGGATTCTGTAGGCCATGGAAAGAATCAAGAAGTTCTTTCTTGCCACACTACCCTCCACTCCTTTGGGAAATTCCTGCAAGCTACACTGTTCTGACAGCAACACTAAGCACGGTGGATCATCTCTGTAGGCGCCTACACATCGCACGGACCCCCACCTGCCAGCCAGAGCCCACATCACTGCCATGAGCTCAGTCCTGTGTATAAACCCAAACAAGGCCATAAAACATCAAACATGGCCACTGTGTACCCCAGGGGTCTCCAACGTGGTGCTTGTGGGTGCCATTTTGTTGCTGCTCAGTCGCACAGTTGAGTCTGACTCTTCGCGACCCCATGGACCACATCACGCCAGGCCCTCCTGTCTTCCATCATGCTCCGGAGTTTGCTCAATTTCATGTTCACTGCATTGATAACACTGTCTAACCATCTCATCCTTTGCCGTCCCCTTCTTCTTTGACCTTCAATCTTTCCCAGCATCAGGGTCTTCTCCAGTGAGTGCTCCCTTCTCATTGGGTGGCCAAAGTATTTGAGCTTCAGCTTCAGTATCAAGCCTTCCAGGGAACAGTTAGGGTTGATTTCCTTTAGGATTGACCAATTTGATCTCCTTGCAGTCCAAGGAACTCTCAAAAGTCTTCTCCAGCACCATAATTCAAAAGTGTCTATTCTTCAGCGCTCGGCCTACCTTGTGGTCCAACTCTCACAGCCGTACATGCCATAGTGACTGACAACACCTTTTCTAGTGCCCGCCAAGTGTTTTTACAAAGTGGGCAGGAGCAAACTAGGGTTTTTACCCATCAAGGCTGATGATTGACTATTGGAGATTTGATTAGCATTGCAGATTTTTTAAAATGTTTATTTATTTATTTATTTAATTCCATTTCTATCCCGCCCTCCCCGCATGCAGACTCAGGGCGGCTTACAAGGCACAAATGCTATAAAACCAAGTACATTAAAAACAACATAAGTTAAACAAGCATCTGCATCTTGTACAAGCATCTTGTACAAGCATCTGCACTATATTACTGAGTCCACAGTTTAAGAGTGGCATTTACCGCACTTTGTTTTCAGTCTATGCCCACTGAATTGCTGTCTGGAAGATATTTCAAGAAACCAAGAAATTTGTGCATTCAGAACCTCTGTGGAAGATTTATTTCACTATATAATGATTTGTCCTTTATATTCGGACCTCAGAAGCCGATTCCTATCTGGAATTCTAAGCCAAGTCCACAATTTATCTGACAGCGAAAAGCTGATTTTTCTCTTCTCGGACATGAACCCCTTGGTCTCGTGCAAGGTAGCGCTCTTCGCACTTGCAGCTAGGAAAGTCAGATCCAAGGTGGCTCTTTCTTTCACAATGATCGATGAAGTATTGATACCAAGCTTTTAAATTCCAAATTGTTGTAATTCTGACATTTTAGTTGTACAATTGAATTTTATTCTGAATGCAATGTTTTAAATTATAAGTATTTTTGAATGTAATTTTGTATTGTAATGGCCAATGGCCACATACAATAAATCTAATCTACAATCTATATTACTGATGTTAAACTGTGGTAATCATTTTGCTGGGACCGCCTCCTGTGGCAGCCCTTTTGTGGCTGCGCCCACTAGGCTGCGCCAAAATTCCAAATGTGCCCGTGGGTTAAAAAGGACAGGGACCCCTGGTCTATTCTTTGGCTCATAAACACTGACATTGTGGACCCCAAGGGCCCGCAAAAACCTCTTGTCCAGCTAGCACGTTAATGTGGGCCACATAAAAACGGAAAGTTGGAATGATTTCTTTGTCTCAAAGCTGCCTACTTTTCGTGGCGGGGGGGGGAACCGAGCCTGGCATAAGGCAAGATTTGTCCAGCACAGAACGAACATCTAGCAGAGAGACACATAAAGCACACAGAAATATTGTGCTGAAAGAGAACTCTGCACTTTTGGCCCGGCCTCCTCTGGCTTGTTTTTTCTGCAGGGCAAAGAAAGTAATATGAATCTTCTTAGTGGCTGATACAATCATTCTGGAAACGCAAGTTATCTCGATAGCGAAAGATGTAAGATACCGAACTTCATTTCAGACCCGCGTGGGTCTCTTGTCCGTGGAAATGCCCTCTTTTTTCTTCACCGCTTCTCCTCAGTCATTGGGGTCCCTTCTCCCCACCGAGCTTTTCTCCTCTTGACTGGCTTCCCCTTCCTTTTGGGGCTTCATTCCCTCTTGGCTCCCTTTCCTCACTTGCTCCCCAGCTGAGTCTCTGGTGGGGTTTTATTCTCCCTTCCTAGCCTCAAGGACTCCCGGGTCTCCAAGGCAGCTTACGCGCTAAAACTGGGGATTCTGAGCCCGTGGGGTAAAAAGGAGAAAACCTCTGGTCTGCGCCTAGTGAGGAAAAATCTACTGCAGAAAGTTTCACATAATCTGCAGTTTTAAAAATGTCACTGTGGGGAATTTCACTGCTGCGGAAATGGTCTCTGTTCCCAAATGTTCCTATCAAGTCTTCTAATCCCATTGCTGCTTGTGTTTTGCTGTTGTTTGTACTAACTGGGGACATTTGATGATGTGTATAAATATGATTTAGGCGCTGCAGTGGCTCAAGTGGTTAAGACGCTGAACTGCAGGCTGTGGAAGGTCGGTAGTTCAGCAGTTCGAGACCCGAGTGTGCCGCATGACGGAGTGAGCTCCCGTCTCTACTTCCAGCTCCTGCCAACCTGGCAGTTCGAAAGCAAGAAATTGCAAGTAGATAAATAGGTACCACTTCGGTGGGAAGGTAACATCGTTCCGTGCGCCTCGGTGTTTAGGCATGCCGGCCACATGACCACGGAAACGTCTTCGGACATCGCTGGCTCTTCGGCTTTGAAACGGAGATGAGCACCGCAACCCTAGAGTCAGATTCGACTGGCTTTCGAGCAAGGGAACCTTTACCTTTATAAATATGATGGCAAGCCCTCTGGACAGGAAATTGTCATTCCTAAATCTGAAAAAACAGTCTGTGATTGTAACGGCCCATTCACCCAGTATGCAGTCTTAAAAATGTCAATGCAGGGAATGTCACTACGGCAGAGGTTCCTGCACTGCCTTGCTCACATATCAGGCCGTAGACCCCTTGCTGTCCCACAGAGGAGAGTGTCACTGCTAAGTCTGCTCAATGCAACAATTTGTTTCACTGCACAGTGAACAACCATGTCGCATTTCTATGTGCTTCGCACCCTCCTGTGCAGAGCTGATGGTCACCAAGTACAGGAAGTCTGCATAGGACGGCACAGTTAGCTGCAGCTGTTGAGAACCATCAGGCAATGCAAGTAGTGAGGAAACAGGAAATGAACCGACATATTTGAGAAGAAACCAGGAAGCTCTGCCTACAGCCTTTTCATGGATGCTTGCTGTGTAGCAAGTGGGCCCAAACCAAATGACACCCTTCATTCAATCCTTCCATCTCTTTCCTGACTTAACAAATTTGTGTATCTTAACAAATGGCCCTGATTTATAGGGCTGTCAGGTTCCCCCACTACCACCATGGGAATAGAAGACTCAGTGGAATCCTCTGTGAGCAGAGATGAATGCACTGGCTTGCTGATGAACCAGGTCTTACCCAGTAACCCTCAAAGCACATTTGACCTACCATCTCAGTTTTTGATCAATTTATTCTCCCCAAAAGAATTCTCTTTTAATAAACCCCTAAACTGTCCTCACAGGACTACAGTTTCCAGGAGTTCTGGGGTGGGGAAGGAGTAACTCTGTGGTGGCAACTGGCCCCACTGCTGGACCTCCTGATGGCACCTGGTGTTTTTGGCCACTGTGTGACAGAGTGTTGGCCTGATCCAACATTGGCTTCTCTTATGTTCTTAAGTTCTTACCCGTGAAACTGGGGAGCACAGATATGCTCTCAGTTCTGTGGTAATGTTTTACTGGGTATCAGTTAAGATTTCCGTTCCTCAACAGGCAGGACTAAGGTTAGCAAGACCTCAGTCAGTTTTTACATTCACTAAGACCTCAGTCGGTTTTACAGGAGGATGGTAGACCTAGCCAGTGAAACAACCACTGTAAACTCCACCACACCTTCCGCATGGCCCTCTTTGCCTCTGTGGTGGCAACTGGGAAGGCCACTTGTTTTTCCTCAGGGGATCAGATTTGGCACTGGGTCTCCACCCAAACCCCCCCTCTGCTTACCAGTATCAGCCAACTAATTGTTAACAGCACATAAGCCAACATCAAATTCCCCTGGTCTTCATTAATAAGAATTTCTACATATTAGTACAAGTGAAACCTAAACACACACACACACAAATAACAGAGATCCTCAAGTAAGAAAATATGGTTGTTGTAGATTATCTCGGCTGTATGGCCATGGTCTTGGCACTGTAGTACCTGATGTTTCGCCAGCTGCCGCTGGCGAAACGTCAGGTACTACAATGCCAAGATCACGGCCATGTAGCCTGGAAAAACTACAACACCTAATGAACGCCGGCCGGGAAAGCCTTCGACGACATAAGAAAATATGAATTAACGACACTGCTTCTTCTTATCTGGATACAGCAGTCTGCAAATGTGTTGTTTACAAAAAGCCAATCAAAGTTATCATTTCTGTTCAGTAGGTCAGGGACCTACGTGTCTTCGGGACCGCCTCTCCCGATATCTCCCCCGAAATGGCATTAAGATCAGCAGATAAGAATCTTCTGGTGGCTCCCGGCCCCAACGATATCCAGCTGGCCTCAGCCAGGGACTTTTCAGTCCTGGGCCCAGCCTGGTGGGACTTTCTGCCGGATGACATCCGTCCCCTGTCTGATCTATGAACGTTTCACAGGGCTTGTTAAGGCAGAGGTGTTCTGCCAGGCCTTTGGTTGAGGCCCAGCACCCTCCCCCTCCCTCCCCCCAAAACTGAATGCTCGAGATGCCATCTTGAAGAAGAGATTGGATTTATACCCCGCCCTTCACTACCTGAAGGAGTCGTAGAGCAGCTTAGAAAGAAGAAGAAGAAGAGATTGGATTTATATCCCGCCCTTCACTCGGAGTCTCAAAGCGGCTTAAAAACTCCTTTCCCTCCCCCTCCCCACAACAGACACCCTGTGAGGTGGGTGGGGCTGAGAGAACTCTGACAGGAACTGCCCTTTTTCAAGGACAGCTGTGCCAGAGCTTGTGACTGACCCAAGGTCACATCAGCAGGTGCAAGTGGAGGAGTGGGGAATCAAACCCGGTTCTCCCAGATTAGAGTCCGCGCACTTAACCACTACACCAGACTGCAGAAGAAGAAGAAGAGATTGGATTTATACCCCACTCTTCACTACCCAAAGGTGTCTCAGAGTGGCTCACAAACTCCTTTCCCTTCCCCTCCCCACAACAGACACCCTGTGAGGTAAAAGAAGAAGAAGAGATTGGATTTATACGCCACCCTTCACTACCCAAAGGTGTCTCAGAGCGGCTTACAAACTCCTTTCCCTTCCCCTCCCCACAACAGACACCCTGTGAGGTCGGTGGGGCTGAGAGAGCTCTGACAGAAACGGCTCTTTTTTCAAGGACAGCTCTTATCAGAACTATGGCTTGCCCAAGGTCATCCAGTCAGGTGCAAGTGGAGGAGTGGGGAATCAAACCCGGTTCTCCCAGATTAGAGTCCGCACTCTTAACCACTACACCAAACTGGCTTACCATCTCCTTTCCCTTCCCCTCCTCAAAACAGACTCCCTGTGAGGTAGGTGGGGCTGAGAGAGCTCTGAGAGAACTGCCCTTTCAAGGACAGCTCTTGTCAGAACTACGGCTTGCCCAAGGTCATCCAGCTGCTCTTGTCAGAACTACGGCTTGCCCAAGGTCATCCAGCTGCTACAAGTGGAGGAGTGGAGAAATCAAACCCGGTCCTCCCAGATTAGAGTCTGTGCACTTAACCGCTACACCAAACTGGCTCTTGGACTTAAAATGTACTTTAAATGTTTTAAAATATTCATGTTTGAACGTTAATATTGAATTTTTATGGTTCTAATTGGTTTCATAATGTAATTGGTTTTATAAGGTATTGAGTTTCTACTGTAAACTACCCTGAGCCCCACGAAGGGTGGTCAAGAAATCGAAATAAATAAATAAGTAAATAAATTGAAGAAGCTGTTGGTTATGTTTATCCTAGTGTTCTCTCCTATACTTCCAAGAGTGATTCAGTTTTCTTTGGATTTTCAATCTAAAGGAAAAGTGTGAACCTCACTGTGACTACGTCATACCCATACGGTGGGCGGCCAGCCAGAGAGGACCCCTTTACTTCCTGTTAAACGGTAGGTAGTCATGCTCTTACTAGAGACGGCTCTTCTGCCTCCTGAGATGGAGGAGCGCTGTCGGGCATTGGTGAAGAACTAGCATCGTTTTCATTGGTCACATCACCATCTGCCAGGGCGTCGAATGAAGGTAATCCATCCTCGTCCACCGGGATATTGTCCAGCGTCTCTGTGAGGACTGCTAGCAAGTTGGCTTCGTTTTCTTCATCGATCTTCTACAGGAGAAGAAGAAGAAGAGGGGGGGAAAAACAGAGACAGAGAGCAGGCATGATAAGATTAATAGCCACAGAAAACAAAATTTGTCTGAATTAATTTTTACAAGCGTCAACTGCCTCAACAACAATAATTCCTGCATCTGAAATGATCGAGGGGATTTTTTTGGAGGGCGCGACTTCCACAAACACCTACTGGAAGCTGTCACTGTTCTTCTGATTCTTTCTCCCCTGTATCGTTGCCCCGCTTTCTCTTTGCAAAGCCAATACTAACAACTTCACCTCAATTATCACACTCAGACCACCCCCACCTTACTTCATTAGAAATCTGCGATGCCCATCTACCCCAATGCAGAACGCCAGTTAATTGACCCAACGAAATTACAAGGCTCGCAAAATGAGACAGCTAATCAGAAGATGAAAATTTATTACTAGATAAAATTAAGCAACTTTTCCGGCTACACGGGCCTGGGGGGCGGGGGAAACACCTATTATTTCTCTTTAGACCCAACCCCACACAATCAAAATCTGGCACCCAATACAAAACTTCTCATTTCGATGTAAACTGAAGTATAGCAATCAGTGCTCTTATTAATGACAGACTGTACTTTTCTGTTTTGAATAAATGAATTATGCAGGTTGCCTTTTGAAGCTGTCCTACTACTGGATACGTTTATCTAATTCAGGCTGCAATTATAGAAAAAGCAGATTAATTCCTAATCAGATGTGGATGCAACGTTAATTTGTACTAGATATCTTATTTCGGTACCAGGGATTTGTTTGTGTCAAATCAAATACATTTAATACGCTTGCATTCCTCAATGCGATATGTTCCAATTATGATACACGTATTGGGAAGACGGAAAAATAAAGCACTTATTATATTTTTAGAGATTTGTTTTGGCAATTATTAATGACTTAGGGCTTGGGAAACTCCCTGCGGAGCCTATGCAAAGACTTTGCCGGCAGCCAAATAAAATCCTCAGCAAGAGAACGTAGTCTAGAGATTCTCGGCAGACGACACACTCGAGTAGCTTAATACCACCCAGGCACGGGCGCGGATTGCTACCTGAAACACCAAGACACATCAAGGCTTTTCTCAGTAAAGATTCATTAGGATTGATCTGAACAGAACTGACTCGTGTTCGGTTAAATCCACCCTTTATCAAAAGAGCAGTTGAGGAAACAGATCACACAAACTCAATCAATTTAGGGGAATGGGTAAAAATGACCCAATTAAATAAATAAAGCCTGCACACAACGGCAGTCTCTCTTTTTAAAAAAAATTATTTCAAGGCAACATGGAAAATTTATATCCACCTTTGCACATCAGCTGAATGTGCAGAATCAACACACAGCTGGGCAGAAGGAGTGCACCTGCCTAACATATATATGTCATATATAATATTACACATAATCTATAAGCCATGTAAACATGCAAGGGGTTGGATCCAGAACACTGACAGTGGAAAGAACTGGGATCTTTGCCACATTCCCTTGCCCCCAATACCTTTTGACCCTAAAGCCCCAAGGTAAGGCATCATAGAATTAGAGACTCACAGAGTTGGAAGGGGCCATACAGGCCATCTAATCCAACCACCCCCCCCCCCCCCCCCCCTCCCCATGCCCCGCAGACCACCCATCGCAAAAAGACTGCCACTGATGGGGAGCTCACCACCTCCCTAGGCAGCTGATGCCACTGTTGAGCAACTCTGACTATAAAAAAGTTTCCCCCAATATCCAGCCGGCACCTTCCCGCTCTTCATTTAAACCCATTCTTGCGAGTCGTCTCCTCCACTGCCCACAGGAGCAGCTCCCTGCCCTCCTCTAAGTGACAGCCCTTCAGATACCTCAAGTGAGCAATCCTGTCCCTCCTCAACCTCCACTTCTCCAGACGGAACATTCCCAGTCCCTCAGCCTTTCCTCATAGGGCTTGGTCTCCAGGCCCCTGATCATCCTTGCCGCTCTCCTCTGCACCCGCTCCATTCTGTCCACACTCCTTTTCAAGTGAGGCCTCCAGAACTGCACACAATGCTCCAGGTGCAGCCTGACCAAGGCAGTGTACAGCGGGACTATGATGACATCTTGCAATGTGGATGTTATGCCTCTGCTGATTGCAGTATTCCATCCTGCGGACGGCTAATTAGGTGGCATCAGAAAAAAAATAACAGAAAAACAGGAAGTCACACACCATGCTAGGGAACGGTATCCCTTCCTCAAGCCAAGCAAAATAAAGCAGGGTTTAATATAAAGCCATGTTAGTCTTAGCTGTTCTGTTCTACATATTCACATACTTTTAAGGAACTGCACACAATACTTGGGGTGCAGCCTGACCCATGCAGTGGGACTATGACATCTTGCGATTTGGATGTTATGCCTCCGTTCATGCACCTCAAGACCGCATTAGCCTTTTTTGTCACCGCATCACACTGGCTGTTCATGTTTAACTTGTGGTCCACCAGCACCCCAAGATCAAGGAGCCCACATGGATTAACACAAGAAGAGCCCTGCTGGATCAGACCAATGGCCCATCTAGTCCACCATCTGGTCTCACACAGTGGTCAACCAGTTCCTCTGGAGGGCCAACAACGGGGCATAGAGGCCGAGGCCTTCCCCTGAGGTTGCTTCCTGGCTCTGGGATCCAGAGGATTAGTGCCTCTGAATGCGGTGGAGCGCCCGCTGATTGGCCCCTGAAGATGTGATTGGCTAGGCAGTATAAAATAGCGTCATTTCAGCTGCAGGCGCCACCACAGTGTCTGTCTCATTCTCTCTCACTCTTCGTTCCCGGGGTATTTTTTAAAAATCACCCCTCTTCTCCCCCGCGCTTGGGCTTCTTCTGTGTCTGGATCCACCTCCCACAACAGCCATTTTTTGGCTGCACCTACCGCCACCACATTCCAGAGGTGCCCAGCGGCTCAAAAAGGGATTCTGGAAGTGTCCTACAGTTTGTTGTCACTAACGCAAAGGGAACACAACAAAGCGCAATAATTTAATAACAACGGTGTGCTGTCAAGTAGCAATCGACTCATGGCGACCCCTGGACCCAGCGATGAGCAGAGGTGGCGCGCCATTCCCTTCCTCCATGTAGGAACATCAGTCTTCCTTGGTGGTCTCCCGCCCAAGGATAACCATGGTCAACCCTGCTTGGCTTCCAAGCTCTGAGGAGATCAGGCTAGTCAGGGCTATTCAGGACAATATCTCTAGCATATGTGACTGGAACAAAGCGTGTCACCCCAATGCTTACCAAACTCTCACAGAGAGCTTTAAAATATTACCCATTCCGTGCCAGCATGATTTCTTTGAGGAGGAGGAGGAGGAGGAGAAGAGAAAGAGGAGGAGGAGGAGGAGATTGGAGTCATACCCAGTGTTCCCTCTAAGCTGAGTTAGTGTGAGCTAGCTCACATTTTTTTAGCCTCCGGCTCACACGTTTTTGTCTTAGCTCAGGGAGGAGGGCTCCAGAGCAAACTTAATTGATGAAGTAGCCAAATCACCTGCTCACAACTTTCAGGCCAATCGCTCACAAATAGAATTTTTGCTCACAAGACTCCGCAGCTTAGAGGGAGCCTTGGTCATACCCCACCCTTTACTACCCAAAAGAGTCTTAGGTCCTTTCCACACTAGACCTTAAATCCTGGTTCAACCCTGCCCCCGAGCTTACATTCTACACTACACTCAAGTTCGCTCCTGTAATTATCTCGAGGTATTTTTTTGTTTTTGCATTACACTGAGGTTACCCCGGTTTCGCCCCACACCTGTCCCGGGATAAACAGATGCTGTTATAACCAGGGATAAATGCAAGGGATTGTGTCACGAGTTGAACTCTGATAAAACCAGGGATGAGATTCAAATGTGGAAAGGAGCTTAAAGCAGTTTACACCCTGTGAGGTAGGTGGGGCTGAGAGACAGAAACTGCTCTTTTTCAAGAACAGGCCTTATCAGAGCTACGGCTTGCCCAAGGTAATCCAGCCAGGTGCAAGTGGAGGCGTGGGGAATCAAACCCGGTTCTCCCAGATTAGAGTCCATGCTCCTAACCACTACACCAAACTGGCCCTCTCTAAAATGGGCTCCCTTGCAGAAGCTTCAGCATTTGATGCTTAGCTGTTTGGTGTTTGTGCTCTGCAGACAGAGAAGGAAGTGCTCTGCTACTCAGAAGTCAGGAGGTGGAATGGACGCTGGATCTCCTCATCCTAGCAATTCCAATGAGTTTTTTTGCCCGGCTTTCAAACAATCAAACACCCCTCAGAGACGAGCGAGGGGGACGTGACAAAGAGGAACTCTGTTAAAACAATTAATGCAACTTCCCATTATTGTTCCAGTCCCAATTTACAGAGCAAATAAATCAACGTCACCACAGACGAGGCACGCCAACCTGGCCAGCGTGTGTCTGCTCACAAATGGCATGGCAGCTGGAGATAACCGGTGCAAGGCGTTAACAGTGCCCTTGCTCCTAAATACTGTTTTACACAGAAACATTTTCATTAGTTATTGTAGAAAGTACACGGCTGCAGAAAGGTAGAGAGGGAGAGGTGGCCTCGTATAGCACTCCCCACTTTTTCACTCTGTACTAAGAATTGCCGGCCTCCAGGTGGGACCTGGGGATCCCCTGGAATTAAAACTCATCTCCAGATGAGAGAGGAGGAGGAGGAGATTGGATTTATACCCTGCCCTTCACTCGGAGTCTCAGAGTGGCTAATAATCTCCTTCCCTTCCTCCTCCCACAACAGACACCCTGTGACAGCCAGTTTGGTGTCGTGGTTAAGTGCACCGACTCTAATCTGGGAGAACCGGGTTTGATTCCCCACTCCTCCACTTGCAGCTGCTGGATGACCTTGGGCAGGCCATAGTTCTGACAAGAGCTGTCAAAAGGGTAGTCCTCAAGAGAGCTCTCTCGGCCCCGCCTACCTCACAGGGTGTCTGGTGTGGGGAGGGGAAGGGAAAGGAGTTTGTAAGCCGCTCTGAGACTCCGAGTGAAGGGCGGGGTATAAATCCAATCTCCTCCTCTC